AAGTCTGCACGTACAGGGAAATTCAACAGAAAAATGCATAGGAAGTCCAAGTCCAATTGCATTTGGTACCTGTCAATTATGCATAATTTCCATTGCACATCAATATTTGATCAAAAAGTCTGCACGTATAGGGAAATTCCTGTTAAATTTCCTGTACTCATAGCATGTCTCCTATTTGATATATGACTCTAGAAAGTGAGGAGAAGAGCTTGAATTCAAATATGTGTAATCAATAATTCATTCTATAAATAGTTTTAAATTTCAGTTTTTCTTTTAAAAAAATTAAAAATTTGACCAATTTATATTCCTTAAAAAAAATTTAGACTTGATGAATGTGAAGAACTTACTCCAAGGAACCACTCTTGTACAAGGCAGGCATAGAAAGTCCAAATTCCTCCATTTAAGAAAAGGAAACACGAAAGAAGAAATGGCATATACTCTTCGCTCTTCGTTGTCACAATACTTTTCTGCACGCTTCATTATGTAACTTTTCACTATAATATCGATGAATTGAATATTATCATAGTGCATTAAAGAAGAAAAAAATTGAAATTATACTAATTATATTTGTCCGATATGAATGCACAACCANNNTTTGTCCGATATGAATGCACAACCAAACATATCCTAAATTCTTGTCATGCAAAGTCATTATTGACTCAATTATAAGAGTATAAATTAAGTTATAATATAAATTGTTATTTTAATGTAGTTAGACACGAAATCCATTGATCATACAACATGTATTTTTTTCATCAAAGGATGACATGAGTAGAATATTTATAAATCAGCACATGATTTGAAATAAAAATATTTGTTTTTTTCTGATTGTCGAATGATCAATTTATCTAAAAGTTCAAAATTTATCAAAATTGGTTCTCCCCTTTTGAGTAAGGTTTCTAACCAAATGAATATCTTAAACTAAAAAAATCCAAATTGGTTTCAAGATGATTGGGCTATAAGGATGCCCACTAAAACTTGTTTAGATTACTTGCCAAATAATACATTAAAAAGAGACTTAGAATCTAA